GAACAACAGACACAGTGGCCAGATTCAAATAAATGTCTTTACAATTTGTTTTGTTTGGCTGATATTCACATGTCTGCTATGTTAAACATGTTTACATAGTTTGTGCCGCTCATGAGTCAAGACAAGCTGACCCCTAGAGGGAGCACTTGTCCCAACCATTTGTTTCAAATGGCTGCAAATATGTTATCTCCGCCTGATCCACCCAATACTGTATGAAATATATATAAGTTACTCATGCAAATGTTTAGTACAATTCACATTGTAAAGTTGAACTAGAAACAACAAAAAATGAAACATCAACACAATGAATGCAGTTAAAAGCGACCCTGTGATGCAGGTGTCTAGTCCAAACACATAACTCCCTCCACCACTTTGACAAAAAAACTATTTCTTGTAAGTTAATGACATTTAAATGGAGCCATGTTACAGTCCAGGGACTATTTAACTTGCGACGCTTTTAAGGGTGAATAGCTTATTGTACGAATGAAGGAACATTTCTGAATATTTTTTGTATTAGGAAGATGGGAAAATGCAAATGTCCCTGATGATCCTCAGAATACCTGTTTGTCATTATAACATGAGTTAATACCTTGATGATACACAGAGGTCAGTAGCTGCTGAGCGTTGTGGTGTCTATTGTTTCTTTAGAGGCAGGTCTCAAAGACAGCAGAGAGACACAACAGTAGGAAGTGTGGTGTGGTCTGTTCAGCCTGTTCATGTGAACCCTGCAGAAACAGACCTGTAAGCACTATCAGCGCTTACTCACAGGGGTATTGTGGGTACGTGTTATGTATGCAGGGTTGTGGAGGCCTATATTCTGGTGCAACATCAAACAAACCTGCACTGGGACAAACTCTAGTTTGGTTTGCTCATGTATTGCTATAAGAAAATCCTCCCATATGAAGCTGTAATTAAATGCATAATAATGACAAGACAGCAAACTATTTCACCTTTAGCAACTACAAAGAAAGAGTCATCATATACCATGGGTTCAAGTGACTGCAAGCTGGATTACTGACTTTTATTCAAAATATTCATCAATTTTAAGGTGCAGACATATTTGTATTATTGTGGTATTGATAATATGAACACAAATTAATCTGAACCTGATTCTCAAGAGACACCCTGTGTTTGTGGCAGCATAACTTAGTGTCCAAGCCTCACAAATGATTAGATAAGCATTATGTTGAGGGCAAAATCCCATCTTCTCTCTGCTTTTAAAAAAAATGTTGAACCCAAAACAGTTTCTTATTAAGGATGAGTTGTGCTTGTGAAGTCTAACAAAGCATACAAAACTAGGTAACACATACACATCTCTGACTGCTGAAGCTCTTTCCTTCTAACTCTTTCTGCAAGAGATGATTTTAAAAGCAGTTTCTGTTCCTGCTTTTTGAACAGTTTTAGAGCACACACATTGCAATGGTGTGTTTCCTGTCAAAGCGTGTTGTGGCTTATGTCAGCTGACAGGAAACCAGCCTTAATATTAGAAAATAGTTACATCAAAACATTGATGTCTCTCTCATTCCAGTACACTATGGTAAAAAATGGCAGGAATGCACCATTAGACTGACAAACTCAGTATATGTTAATAAAACAACTCAAGACCCTTTTTCTCAAACTGCACAAAGCACTTTTGTGGTTATTTAGTTGCACTGGATCTTCTGAGATTTAATAGAGGATCTTTTCATTTGTTTATTAGTTGTATGTATTTCTCTGTGCAATAAGTAGGATACATTTGTATGTGTCACCCCTTAAGTATATAGTATACTATTGACCATGGGAGAGCTGTCCCACACTTATGGTTTCACACTTCCTTATTATTTTGCTGACCAAGTTCTAGACCATGTGATAACTGAGGGTACATGTGATTATTGAAGTGGGGCAAAACAACATTTTTTTGGAGAGTCACTTTATATATAGGTAGTTAAGCTTCCTTTAGGATTCAGAAACAATCACTAAATACAGTGTAATGTATTTTCCTCAATCTATTTGGCTCACAGTTTCACCCAATCTAAAATATTTGCATAACCTTGTTTTGTTAATGTTGAGTATGGTGGACAGATGCATGGCAACACCAAACATCCACATTATTCATCCTGAAAATCAATATAAAACAAACATTCAAATTCTTCTTCTTAATGTTCTCATGTGAAAATAATAAAACACAGAGGCATCCACATTTTACTGAGAGCCCACCTCGTTTTATTAATGAGATGGAAAAAGTACAAAGTAAAAACCGGACAGATCTCTGTACAGAACAAAGCAAACTAATGTAGACAAAACTGTATTTACACACCAAACCAATTAAAAGTTTCTCACAAAAAACAGCAGGTTTTATTCAAGGATCCATACAAAAACACATTTGAAAAAGAGAGAAAATGTGTTAATTCATTAGTTTTATGGGCATATAATTAGCACCACTGCATTAGCATGTGTTAAGCTGATGTACAGAAGTGAGAACATATCTGTTAGGAAATAAAAAGAGGGTTGGACTCAGTAAATCATAAATGGCACGTAAAAAGTTATAGTTGCAAAAATTGTGTCATTCATTTT